TTCATCACATTAAGCCCAAATACGGACAGTTTGGGGCTGTAAGGTGAAAAACATACAGCTTTATTTATGTGAGTATTTAACAGGAGTACACTTGATACTCATGGAGCACCATTAGGACTGAAAGTAGAAACCTGAAACCCCCTCAAAGATACTAGCTTCATCTGCATTCCTTATTTGGTTAAGCCCTTAAGTTCACCTCCTCTGTAAATGTTACTTGGCTTAATTCTGCCCAGCCCAGTCCACTTGGGTTTGAGAGCTTAAGCTTCTATCACCTGCAGTTTCCACACCGTTGTTCTAGGTTCTGTCATTTGCTTTGTTTGTGGGTCTGAGAAACGGCAGCACGGGTATTTTTCCCATAGAAAACAACACAAGTTTGTCTTGCCTTACTGACCCAGGTCAGAAACTCTGAAAATGGAATTTCAACAGCAACCAAATGAGCAAATTAAGAGTCCTCCTGATTGGAGAAAAAGGCAAAATGGAGTGTGGCTGGGCACGGGGGTCTCTGTTGTAATTTACTGAATTCACACTAAGAAGAGAATTCGATAAATGAATTGCTAATACAAAGACTGTTTCAAAGGGAGCGTTAAACCTTCTGAAGCACCGAGAATGGCACGCACCTGCTGATTCCCAAGGATGGAGATGCTAAGAGCACAACCATCCTCACCAAGTCATTACAGAAGCCAGTGAGACTCCAAATGGCAGCTGATTCAAGTTGCCTTCTCTCCTCTGTCCTAACAGTTCCCAATGAATTTCCTCAGAAAGGTTAAGGACTCCCAACAGTGGTGCTGAATGAGTCACGTTTTCTATCACATTCACGCGAGTGCTCAATTTTAATCCTGTAAATCTGAATAGAACAGATAAGTATCTGGGCTCTTGGAGTAACATTTTAAGTCTGCACACCACCAGCCACACATCTGCAATCTAGGCCTCCTTATCAGGAGATATTACCAGGAGAGTCATGATCCAAGGCTCCCCTCAGGGAAAGCAGCTCATCCCTGAGTAAAAGGAGCAATTTTGTAAGCAAAGCCAAAAAAAGCCCCCAAAACAAAAAATCTGTCCCAGCACCTTTTATATAAATTTACATGCAAACAAAATGTTAGCTATGAGAAATCTTATTACCATTAAAACCCGCTGCTGTTTAGTTTGAAAGCAGTGAAAGTGGCTTCTTGTAATTATCTTATAGTTTCTTAAAACTTAGATAAATTACCTGTTTCCTGTCTTTGACAACAGGACTGTCAGACCTGACTCAAGGACCACTCTTAGGCTTATAACACAGCTTTTGATTTTCATAGTTCATATCTGTTTTTTGTACTATAGCCAGTTTTTTATCTTACCTTATAGTAGCCTCAAAAAATAAATTATATGCTAACATACACCTTTTAAGATTTACAGATGCATGCAGATCATGTGTGTGAGAGATTTTTGTTTTTAATTTTGATTGTTTTCAAAACAGGTTTTTTGGTTTTTTTTTTTGTTTGTTTGTTTGTTTTTCTGTGAAATCCTGGCTTACATGAACTCTCTCTGTAGACTAGACTGACCTCAAATTCAGAGACCCACTTGCCTCTGCCTCACCACCAGGCCCAGGGTTTCTCTGTATTGTTTTAGAGATTGTCCAGGAACTCGTTCTGTAGACCAGACTGGCCTGGAACTCACAGAGATCCGCCTGCCTCAGCTTCCCGAGTGCTGGGATTAAAGGTGTGTGCCACCAACGCCTGGCTAGCCATGCCTATATATTTTTTTAATAGTAGTTAGAAGGGGGCAACCAGGGTGCTGGTGCACATCTTTAATCCTAGCACTTGGAGGCACAGGCAGTCTGACCTCTTTGAATTTAAGGCTACCCTAAGTTACAAACTGAGAATCTGCCTTAAAAAAAAAAAAAAGAGTGGGTGTGAACAGCGCTGCCTGACATTTGTAATGGGTTACACCGGTGATTACAGTGAATTTTCTTCAACAAAAGCCACAATTTCTTTTGTGTGGGTGTGTGTGCAAGCACTGTGTCCAGAAACCAATGGACAGCCTCTGGTGTTTGTTACCCCTTAAGAGCCACCTATCTTGTTTTCTTAATTATTTAATTACATTTATTTGTTTGTTTCTTCTGGGAGGACAGCACACGTGGGAAGGCCAGAAGACAACTTGTGAGAGTTAGTTATCTCCCTTCTACCATGGTCACCAAGCTTGGTAGCGAACACTTTCACCCACTGAGCCATTCAGCTGGCCTCACCTCGTATTTGGGGTCAAGTTTCTCACTGGTCGAGAACTCCCTAAGTAGACTACGCTAATGAGTCAGTCTGCCCCAGGAATCCCCCTGTATCTGCCTCCCTGACACTGGCATTACAAGTGCATGTCACCACAGGTGGCTTTTTATATGAGTGCTGGACATCAAACTTGGGCCCTCATGCTTGTACCCCAAGCCCTTTCCTGGGCTATCTCCTCAGTCAGGGTTTCTCACGGGTTAGCTCTGGTGTGTGAGCAGTCCAAACTCACACCATTAAAATCCATCAGTAGTCTCCCTAGCGTAGTTCTTACTATTACTGTTGATATCACCAGAAAACCCTTTAAGTATTGGGCACCTGGCAAGTTCACTGAAATAGGGACAATTTTTTTTAAAATTCTAGTCTCCCTTTACACACTTTATCTTTGGCAATAAATAATGTCTATAGTTTTCCATGTCCAGACGGGTTCGGTGTTCATTGCCAACACGTGCTCTAGGTCCCAGGTGCAATCAAGTGCACACAGGACCTTTAAACGATGGTACTTCTCGGGAGCAGACCCTTAGCCTGGGTCCTACTGTATCGCCTCTTTCACCACAGTGCTGCTACACCACCTGTGTGAGCATCACCAGCAGGCTACAGGTCGGGGTAAGTCACACTTCAGTATTCTAACAAGTACAGTTTTGATCTTACCAATGCATTAAAAGATACTGAGGAAGGGCAGGTGATGGAATGCAGCTGGTAGAGTGTATACTTAGCCTAGCATGCATGGGATCCTGTGTAGCATCTCTAGCACCAAACAAGCTGGTATGGTAATATACCTGCAATCCTAGCACTCAGAGGTAAAGGTAGAAGGATCAAATGTTCAGGGTCATCCTTGGCTACATAGCAAGTTCAAAACCAGGCTGTGACACAGGTGAACTTGTTCAGGGTTATCTTTGGCTACATAGCAAATTCAACAGGAGAACTAGTTCAGGGTCATCCTTGGCTACATAACAAGTTCAAAACCAGGCTGTGGCACAGGAGAACTTGCTGAATGAAATCAAACAGGCAAGCAGGATTCTGAGGAAACCAGCAGGTGTTCACCTTCTAACAAATCTCTGAGCAGGCAGGTCTCTACAAACAGCCACCAGAACTTAGAAAGGTGGTCCATACAGCTTTCTCAGGCTGCCCTAAATGTTACTGCTATCCACATCCATTCAAGTTTCAGTGCTGATGGCATAATCAGTGTAACCTAGTCACCAAGGAAGAATGGAAAAGTTGAATAAATTTAATGTGCAAACTCCAAGGAATCTAAAACATACATTTTTCTCTAATCTACCCATTTGTTCCCACACTGGCTAGGCTTTTTTCTCCAGGACACATGCTCAGTGTTACAAACACGGAGAGTCTTAGGATGACAAACTTTGTGGCCCACAGGTTAAGCTGCCTGGACTCAGGGAGGTATATTGAAATTGACAGATCTGATTTCAAGCGCCAGGTCCCCAGTCTGAAGCAGTTTGTCCTTTGTCATCCCCAGGCCTGCCTTCTTAGTTGGATATGAGACAAATTCCACTTACAGCATGAAATCCATGTAAAGCACTTAGCCCACTCCTAGCACACAGCAGGCATTCAATAAATGGAAGCCACTCTGTGAATAAGGTCCCCTGGGGCCAGTCAGAGTCCAGAGGGGAGCTGAATACACGTCCCAATAATTATGACCCAGCATGGGAACTGATTAACCACAAAATGAAACAGGAGTAAGGGAAAAAAAAATCAATGTTATGCTTTAGTAAGGAAGGTGCTGAGAGAGGAAGTAGCTGGCTTGGTGACAGAAGAGGAAAAGACAAAGCTATCTAGATGAGCATGAGGGTGTGTAGGTACACAGAATGGGCAAGGAGGCCCAAGGGGCCCGCAAAATCCAGGAGGAACACAGCTTGGAAGCAGGTCATCGAGGGCCTTGAATGATACACTGAAGGGTACAAACATTTGAAGCTTCTTCTTGTAGACTGAGGACCAATCAACTGTCAGTGCTAGCGGCTTGTTTCCTGTGCTCCCCACTGAGTACCCACAAATTATATCTACGCCAGGACAGCCCTATCAGCAGGCCGGTGGCCCATACTGGGGTCACTACAGGGAAAGGGACACAGAGATGAAGGCACATCAGCAAGCCCCAAGAACCAAGGACAATTCAAGTGGCCCATATCCTGTGAAAGCAGGAAGGAAATGCTTTCTTTTTTGGTGTGTACAGGCCAGAGGGCATCCTCAGGTGTGGTCCCACAGGAGTCATCCACCGTAGTATTTTGAGACAGTCTCTCACTGGCCTGGATCTCACTAAGCAGGCTTCTCTGGCTGACCAGTGAAGTTCAGGGACCCTCTTATCTCTGCCTCCTCACACTGGCTTGACAGGCACATGCTACCACACCTGGCCTTTTGACACGGGAGTGGGAGATCACACTCAGATCCCTGTGTCGGTGTGGCTAACACTTCACTGAAAGAGGTATCTCTTCAGTCCAAGCATGAAGCAGTTACTGGCAAAGCCACTGGGTAGCCACTTAGACACTTAGAAAATCTTGAGGCACACAACTCTATCTTCATCCTGACTCCAGCTTCCATGATCCAGTGACAATCACAGGTCACTTGGCTTAAAGGAGTGAAATGCAGCAGAAAGGGAGCAGTGTCTCAAGTTTTGCACTGTGACTCCAGCCAACTGGAGTCACCCCCTGAGTGAGGGCTTGGACCCACCTACCCAGTCAGTGTGCCGCCCCTCACTCACAGGAACCAGCGGAATGACAGCCATGGTCTACTCACCCAGAATTTTACGAGGAAGAAGGCGTTTTGAGGGCCTTTTCCAAACAGTTCCTTCAAGCCACCTTTCTTTTCGGGAAATTTGTCATATATCTGACGAATGTCCACAGATTCAAGCAACGGGTCACTGTAAGAATGGTTGGCATGCCCAATATGCACGAAGAGGTGTTTGTTGTACTGCAAGAAACCAACGGAGACATTCCCATTACAAATGCTTTCACAGAACATGGCCTCACCTATGTGAACTGGAGAACAAGTAGGAATCATAAAATCCCACCTCTGAAGAGACACGTTAGAGCCTAGAGGAAAACAAGCATTGTTACTGATGGGCAAGGCCACGTACTTACTGAAAGCTCCTTAAGTAAATAAAACACCACAGTAACATCTCAACTACCAAACCAAGAAACAATTCTATTATCCAGTGTCACCTGACTCACCTGACACTGACATCAACACCCTTTGCATAAACCTTGTATGATTATAATTGCTAATAAAATCACCCACAATGCACTTTTAGCCCTAACTTTCCAAATAGGTGCTCCCTTCCTTTTGACAGAAATGAGAGTGCTGAGCCTCTGGGTCACCAGTCACCACAGTAACCCATATAAAATAACTTCTGTGTGTGCTAGTGGTGGTGGCACCACCTTTAATCCCAGCACTTAGGAGGCAGGGACTGGCCTCTGTGAGTTCCAGGTCAGCCTCCAAAGTAACACGGAAAAATCCTGTTTTGAAAAATCAAAACAAGCACACACTCCTGTATGAAGGACTAGTTGACACAGTTGAGAATAAAGTTAGGGTCATGAGGAAGGAATCTCCAAGGCCAAACAGGGGCAGTAAGAAAAAAGCATAGGTCAATTGGGAACAAAGAAACAAAGAGCTCAAATTCTATTAAGTCATTTATTAATCAAGGACAGTCTTTCTTCCCTTATGTGGTTATAAGACCTTATTTGGTTTGTTAGTTGTTTTGGAGACAAGAACTTAGTATGCAGCCCAGGCTAACCTGCAATTCGATATGTAGACTAAGCTGAACACACACATATCCACCTGCCTCTGCCCCCTAAGTACTGGGATAAAACATACTGTCACCACACCTGGTTTAAGATTTTGTCCATGGAATACAACGGGGTGTGTCCTGACCTCAACAATCATTTAAATATCACTAATGCCTCAATCCCACTCTTTTTTTTAAAGATGTATTTATTTATTATGAATACAACATCTTGCCTCATGTATGTCTGCACACCAGAAGAGGGCACAAGATCTCATTATGGATGGCTGTGAGCCACCATGTGGTTGCTGGGAATTGAACTCAGGACCTCTGGAAGAGCAGTCAGTGCTCTTAAACTCTGAGCCATCTCTCCAGCCCTCAATCCCATTCTTACTGAACTAGAATCTCTGAGAATTGAGGCCAGGCACAGGTCATTTTTAAAGTTCCTTATGAGGTCCAATGTGCATTCCAGCATGAAGCTACTATCTAGAAACCTGCATTTCCCACTTAGTCACGTGGCCCAGAAGTGCCCAGGAGAGTAGGGGGGGCTCCAAGAGAACTCAAGAAAACACAAGGGAGTAGGCCACCATCCCCACACTAAAAAAGTTTAAACCAATAACTTAACCAACTATGACCCTGAGTTAGACTATTATAGTTAATATTCAAATTGTTGAAGGCTTGGCAAATGCTCCTATAGATTTGCCCACTAGTAAAGAATGTGGAGTCTAGATTCAGCCAGTTCAAGGACAAAACCCTATACCCAACCCAATGTATACTATCTGTGGCAGTGACCTTGCCTTCCTAGTGTCCAAAGTGGTAACAATGATGGAATGAATCTCCCAGGGTTGTCAGAAGGTTTAAATGATGCCATACTTCAAAGTCTGTCATAGATCCCAGAGCCAATGAAAAGCAAGCACTCAAATGCTACTGCTGTCATTTTAAATGACACTCCTGAGATTCACAGTGAATAGATGCACTACTACAAAGAAGTAGTTTGGGGCCATGTATAATCCAGTTTCATCAACTCTAGAAAATATAGCCTGAGGGAGTGCTGGCTGCTACCCAGACTGCCATCCAAATGAAGAGCTCTGGCCATGACATTGAGAAGCAGAAGAATGGATGTCTCATCTGATGCCAGTATCCCATACATACAGAATACAACTAAAGACTAGGTAGATATCCTCTTTTGTATGGCCAAACCATCTCTTAGGCAACTTCCAAGTGCTAACTTTATCAAGGCTTCCAAGACTAGAGGATTCCAGATGAGATGAAAACAGGACCCTGTAGAACTCTTACATACACTCCGCACAGGGACCAGATAGATGCCTGGCAGTTTGGAGCTCAGACCGAGAACCCGTAGGCCTCTGTGGAAGAAGAGAGTGTGTCTACGTTCAAGGCCTGCAAAGTCCAAGGTAATGCCACTATATTAGGAAGATAAGGTCACAGGGAGGGGTATACACCTGTTCAGAGTCTGTCACACTATTTTCTCATTTTTATTTTCATGTGTATGTATGTTTCCTTGTGTGTATGCATATGCACCACATGCGTGCCTGGTGTCCACAAAAGTCAGAAGAGGGCACAGATTCCATAGAGCTAAAGTTACTACAGATGGTTGTCAGCTACCGTGTGGATACTGGGAACCAAACTCATCCTCTGCAGAAGCAACAGGGGCTCTTACCCAAGGCTCCGAGCCCAAGGCCATCTTCTCAATGACAAGAAAATAAAAACCAGAGAAAGATGTGGGGTACAGCGAAGGCTAAGGAACTACGAGTCTCTAGCCTGAAGTCTGAGTGGTCCCATTTCTGGCAGTTTTGCTGCCTCCTGTAGGCAGTGAATCATGGAAAAGAAAGGAGTGCAGCAGGGCCCTGGGGACACAGTAAATTGAATTGAATGCAGGCAACCTGCCTGAGCTCCCAGCTCTTCTGACTCACTGATGGCCCACAGGCTAGGGCAGAGTGGGAAGAAAGTTAATAGGCTTGAAGTCTTCTTGTTCTTGACATTGAAATGTCCCATGCAAGTGTTGGCGCTCAGACCACTCCTTGCCAAATGATCAAGAAGGTGAACAGAAGGGCAAACTTTATCATAGCAACAGGACCCAAAAAAGGATAGTCATACTATGGAAGTCTGTCCTTTGAGCCTAAGAGCCATTACCATCTTCATGAGAACAGCTGCAACTGCCCCCTGGACACTTTCAAGATCCAGTGTGTTGAGGTTTCTTCATGGAAGGAGGGAGTGGGGAGAGTCATCAGACCCCTACTTGAGATCTAGTCCCCCTTTCCTACTTTTTCCCAGCTGTACATAACTTTGCCTGAGCTGTACATGGCCTTGAGGTCTCTACCAAGAGTAAATGGAATGTGGCAGGTTAAATGAAAGGGGACCTCATTTATGCAGCGATGGGACAGTTGCCACTGATACTGAACTAACCTTTTTTGATTATGTGGCTTTTTTTAAGAGGGAGTCAACCACACAACTGTAAGCAACCCCTTACTCATAATCTATAAAGGAACTCAGTGGATTCACTGGTTCCCAAGGTGGACTTGAATGGATCCTTACTTTGTTTTGTCACTGATGTCTAACCTGGGGTTGGGAGACATTTGTCTTCATCTTCCCAAAACAGGTCCATTCAAGTTGAAACCATGGCACAAAGAAGGAGCCCTCAGAGCTTCCTGTGCACACTGGCAGTGTACTGCCTGCATAACAGAAGAGTTCCAGGATGGGAGGTAACTATTATAGGCAGATGGTGCTTGGCATAAAGCCTGACAGTCATGCAGCAGTGAATAACCTAGCAGCTAAGACCACTAATGGTCTGAATTACGGATATTCACATCATCCCGGAGTAGGAAAACAAATATTCATCACTCGAGAGCTAGGAGCAAGCAGAAGGTGTATATCAGGTTTAAATGTTGGAACTCAACCCTCAGAGTCAGCTGCTCAGGGGGAACTGAACCTCTTGCCTGTGTGGAAGTAGTGAGCTATGCTTTTCATATGTATGACCTCAGGTCATCCTTGTTGTAGTGGACTTCACATTCTCCTTATAGAGAAGAAAACAGGAGCTCAGAGCTGCACATCGTTGTCTGAAGTCACACACTCAGGAACAGGCCTGGAGTCAAGAACAAAGCTTGGGCATGGAGAGCCAGGCTGTGGGTGTCACAGACATTACCACTATCTTTCTGAGGAACCACCTATGTATGCCCTCCCAGATGTGCAGTCAACTGTTCCTGAAAGCTGAATCAAGGAGAAAAGCTGAACAGCATTTCCCAAGTCCGTGAAATTAAATTAGAATTCTAGATCAAGTCACAAGTGCAATAGACCGAGTCTTCAAAGGGTTCTATTTGGAGGATGTGACCTCTGTGCCCGGAAAGTTGAAAGGAACAGAGAAGCTGGAGCTGTCTCTCCAAGACCATGAACATGAAACTAAATCCTGGCCAGTGGTGTCTGCAGGCTTTATTGCTGCCAAGGAGTGACTTTGTTTCTAAGAATACAAAAGACCAAAGAAGGTGTCCTGGAGACAACAGCATGAAACAAATTGACCTCGCTTTCCCTTCAACGCAACCTGGACAGGTCAGGAGTCCTCTGGCTGCAAACCCAAAGGGCAAAAGGAACAAAACAACCTGATGAGCTAGTACCTAAGTATAAGTGAAATCGAAACTCCAAAGACCACTGGGTGAGGCTGTAACTGCTTCCTACAGGAGTAGGGATGGGCACTGCCCTACTAGCTGCCTCCTCTCAAGAAACCCAAGGTATGGTGATCTTGCCCAAAAGGTGGCACATATATCAAACCAGAGCAGGAACACTTTCAAAAGGAAGTAGCTGCCAAGAAATGACCTGTGACTGGGCCCAGGACTGGGGTAAGGAAGGACAGAACTTTCCTCTGACCACTACATGCATGCTATGCCACACATAAATCATAGACACAAAAAAATTAAAAAGAGCCGGGCATTGGTGGCCCATGCCTTTAATCCCAGCACTCGGGAGGCAGAGGCAGGCGGATCTCTGTGAGTTCGAGGCCAGCCTCCAAAACAATACAGAGAAACCCTGTCTCGAAAAAACCAAAATAAATAAATAAATAAAAAGAAAAACTTTTTTTTAAGAAATAAAGTTTCCTAGGTACTTAACAGCTATAAAGCCACCCAAATATCATGGGCAACAACAGAAAAGGTATCTACTCTTAATTTTCTCCATAGATTTT